CCCAGGTGTCCCCAGGTGTATCCCAGGTGTATCCCAGGTGTGCCCAGGTGTGCCCAGCTGTCCCCAGGTGTGCCCAGGTGTGCCCAGGTGTGCTCACCTTGCTCACAGAGCAGCACGTCGATGTTGGGGGGGATGTTGAGGGCTCTGTTGGCGATGTGCTTCAGCAGCGTCGTCTTCCCCTTCCTGCCAAACACCCAAAAACACCCGGAATGAACCCAAAAACACCCGGAATGAACCCAAAACACCCGGAATGAACCCAAAACACCCGGAATGAACCCAAAACACCCGGAATGAACCCAAAAACAACAGGAATTACCCCAAAAACAACAGGAATTACCCCAAAAACACCCGGAATGAACCCAAAACACCCGGAATGAACCCAAAACACCCGGAATGAACCCAAAACACCCGGAATGAACCCAAAAACAACAGGAATTACCCCAAAAACAACAGGAATTACCCCAAAAACACCCGGAATGAACCCAAAACACCCGGAATGAACCCAAAAACACCCGGAATGAACCCAAAAACACCCGGAATGAACCCAAAAACAACAGGAATGAACCCAAAAACACCCGGAATGAACCCAAAAACACCCGGAATTACCCCAAAAACACCCGGAATGAACCCAAAAACACCCGGAATGAACCCAAAACACCCGGAATGAACCCACAACACCCGGAATGAACCAAAAAACACCTGGAATTACCCCAGAAACACCTGAAATTAACCCAAAATCTTGGGATTGACCCCAAAACATCCGGAATTACCCCAAATCCCGGCAGGCTGGAGCCACAGGAAAGCCAAAATCCTGGGATTTCTCCCCAAACCGTGGGATTTTTCCTAAAATCCCGGGATCTGTCCCCAATCCATGAGATTTCTCCCCAATCCCTGGGATTTTTTCCTGAAATCTCAGGATTTTTCCCAAAATCCCCGGATTTCTCCCCAATCCCTGGGATTTTTTCCCCAAACCATGGGATTTTTCCTAAAATCCCCGGATTTCTCTGCAAACCATGGGATTTTTCCCAAAATCCCGGGATTTCTCCCCAATCCCTGGGATTTTTTCCTGAAATCTCAGGATTTTTCCCAAAATCCCCGGATTTCTCCCCAATCCATGGGATTTTTCCCAAAACCCCGGGATTTCTCCCCAATCCGCACCCGTTGGGCCCCACCAGGCCGTAGCGGCGCCCGGCCACGATGTTGAGGTCGGCGTTGACGTAAAGTTCCTTCCCGTGAGCCGAGATACTGAACTTCTCCAGCTGGGAAACGGGGGGAAAACACGGGAAAACGGGGAAAACGCGGGAAAACCGGGAAAACGCGGGAAAACGGGGAAAACGCGGGAAAACGGGGAAAACGGGAAAAAAACATGGGAAAAAACACAGGAAAACAGGAAAAAACAGGGGAAAAAACACGGGAAAACGGGAAAAAACAGGGAAAAAACACGGGAAAACGGGAAAAAAACACGGGAAAACGGGGAAAAATGCGGGAAAACGGGAAAAACAGGGAAAAAACACGGGAAAACGGGAAAAATGGAAAAAACACGGGAAAACGGGAAAAAACAGGAAAACGGGAAAAAAACACGGGAAAACGGGAAAAAACACAGGAAAACGGGAAAAAAACACAGGAAAACGGGGAAAACACGGGAAAACGGGAAAAAATGGGGGGGAAACAGAAAAAACACGGGAAAATGGGAAAAACGGAAAAAGCACGGGAAAACAGGGAAAAAACACGGGAAAATGGGAAAAACGGGGGGAAAACGGGAAAAGCGGGAATGGGAATGGGGAGAAAATGGGGAAAAAACATGGGAAAATGGGGAAAATGGGAAAAATGGGAATGGGAATGGGGAAAAAATGGGGGGAAAACACGGGAAAATGGGAAAAACGGGAATGGAAAAACAGGGAAAACGGGGATGGGAAAATGTGGGAAAATGGGAAAAACGGGGTGAAAACGGGGGAAAACAAGAAAAAACAAATTTGAGGTAGCCCAGGTGGACTTTGAGGTTCCCAGGTGTGTTTCTACCTCTCTCAGGTGTATTTTCACCCTCCCCAACTGTGTTTTAACCCCTCCCAGGTGTATTTTTACTCCTCTAGGTGTGTTTTCACCCTCCCCAGGTGTATTTTCACCCCTCCCCAGGTGTATTTTCACCCTCCCCAGGTGTATTTTCACCCTCCCCAGGTGTATTTTCATCTCCCCAGGTGTGTTTCACCTCCCCAGCTGTACTTCACCCTCCCCAGGTGTGTTTTGGGACTCTCCAGGTGTACTTCACCCTCCCCAGGTGTGTTTTGGGACTCTCCAGGTGTATTTCACCCTCCCCAGGTGTGTTTTCACCTCCCGAGCTCTATTTTCACCCCTCTCCAGGTGTGTTTTCACCCCTCTCCAGGTGTATTTCACCCCCCCAGGTGTATTTCACCCTCTCCAGGTGTATTTCACCCCCTCCAGGTGTATTTCACCCTCCCCAGGTGTGTTTTCACCTCCCGAGCTCTATTTTCACCCCCCCCAGGTGTGTTTTCACCCCTCTCCAGGTGTATTTCACCCCCCCCAGGTGTGTTTTCACCCCTCACCTTGATGTCGGAGGCGTTCTCCAGCATCGCCTGTCGCGACGACAGCTCCGCCTGCGACACCGCGAAGTCGCCGTCCCCCGAGGCGGCCGCGGCGCGCAGCGACGCCACCTGCCGCTCAAACTACGCCTGGGGGCGGGGCCAGGGTCAGAGGGACACGCCCACCCACCGGGACACGCCCACCTGCCGCTCAAACTCCGCCTGGGGGCGGGGCCAGGGTCAGGGGGACACGCCCACCCACTGGGAACACGCCCACCTGTCACTCAAACTCCGCCTGGGGGCGGGGCCAGGGTCAGAGGGACACACCCACCCACTGGAACACGCCCACCTGTCACTCAAACTCTGCCCGGGGGCGGGGCCAGTGAGTGAGACACGCCCACTTATTGACACCCCCACCTGTCACTCAAACTCTGCCTGGGGGTGGGGCCATACTCAGGCCATGCCCACAGGGAGCCACACCCACAAACCACACGCCTGTTTGGCCACACCCATTAAGCCACACCCAACCGTGAAGCCACGCCCACCACAGGCCACGCCCATTGATTCGAGTGCGATTAGGCCCCGCCCCCTCAGGCCCCGCCCCCTCACCTGTTTCTTCATTTTCTTCTTCTCCTTTTTGCTGATTCGCGGATCCGGCCCCGCCCTCGGCCCCGCCCCTTCCTCCTGCTCCTGGGGAGGGACCCAAAAACATCCAAAATATCCAAAATATCCCAAAATATCCCAAAATAATCCCCAAAATATCCCAAAATATCCCAAAAAATATCCCAAAATATCCCAAAATATCCCCAAAAACTTCCCAAAATATCCCAAAATTACCCCAAAAAATCCCCCCAAAATCCCAAAATATCCCAAAAAACATCCCAAAATATCCCAAAAACATCCCAAAATATCCCAAAAAACATCCCAAAAATACCCCAAAAAATCCCCCCAAAATCCCAAAATATCCCAAAAAACATCCCAAAATATCCCAAAATATCCCAAAAATACCCCAAAAAGTATCCCAAAATATCCCAAAATATCCCAAAAATACCCCAAAAAGTATCCCAAAATATCCCAAAAAACATCCCCAAAATATCCCAAAATATCCCAAAATATCCTAAAGCATCTTTAAACACCCCAAAACATCCCAAAAAACATCTCAAAATATCCTAAAATATCTCCAAAGCATCCTAAAATATCTCAAATATCCCAAAATATCCACAAAATACCCCAAAATATCACCAAAATATTCCAAAACATGCCTCAAATATCCTAAAATACCCCAAAATTACCTCAAAATATCCAAAAATATCCTAAAACATTTTTAAATATCCCAGAATATCCTAAAATAGCCCGAAACAACCCCAAATCCCCCAAAAATCTTTATATATCCCAAAATATCCCAAAACTGCCCCCAAAAATCCCCCCAAATTCCCCCCAAATATGCCAAAATATCTTAAAACATCTTTAAATATCCCAAAACATCCCAGAAATATCCCGAACCATCCCCCAAATACCTCAAAATGTCCAAAAATATCCCAAAACCTCCCAAAACGTTTTTAAATATCCCAAAAGATCCTCAAAATATCCCAAAATATCCCAGGAATTTCCCAAAATATCCCAAAAAATCCCCCCAAAAATGCCCAAAATCCCCCAAAATATCCCCAAAATCTCCAAAATATCCCCAAAATCTCCAAAATATCCCCAAAAATCTCCAAAATATCCCCAAAAACTCCCCAAAATCCTTTCA